GACACAGAAAGGAATGGATTCGATTTGGGTTATAATCGACAGGTTAACTAAGTCAGCGCATTTCTTGCCGGTTAGGACTTTGTTCAGTGCCGATCAACTTGCTGTGTTGTATATGAATGAGATCGTTAGACTTCATGGTGTGCCGATGTCCATCGTGTCAGACCGAGATCCAAAATTTGTTTCTAGATTTTGGCAGAGCTTACAAAGGGCTTTGGGAACCGAATTGAGGTTTAGTACAACTTTTCATCCTCAGACCAATGGCCAAACAGAGAGAACAATTCAAACACTTGAAGATATGCTTAGACTGTGTGTATTGGACTTCAAGGGAAGCTGGGAAGAGCATTTGCCATTAGTAGAGTTCGCTTACAACAACAGCTATCAGGCTAGCATTGGCATGGCACCGTACGAAGCTTTGTATGGAAGGAAGTGCAGATCGCCGATATGTTGGACTGAAGTGGGAGATAAAGCTTTGATTGGTCCTGAGCTAGTCCAGGTTACAACCGAGAAGATTAAGCTCATTCGACAAAGGATCAAGACTGCTCAGAGTCGACAGAAAAGTTATGCCGACCAGAGAAGAAGGGAGTTGGAATTTGAAATTGGGGATCATGTATTCTTGAAGGTTTCACCAATGAAAGGAGTTTCAAGATTTGGGAAGAAGGGTAAATTAGCACCCCGTTACATTGGACCGTTTGAAATCCTTGAGAAAGTTAAACCGGTTGCCTACAGACTTGCTTTACCACCGAGATTAAGTCAAGTTCATAATGTGTTTCATATCTTGATGTTGAGGAAGTATATGTGGGATCCACTACACGTGATCGATCATTTCGGGATTGTGGTTGATGAAGGCCTAAGCTATGAAGAAGGGCCGATGCGCATCATCGATAGACAAGTGAGGTGATTGAGAAATAAGGTAATACCGATGGTGAAGATTGAATGGAAGGAGCATTACGGCAAGGATGCTACATGGGAAATGGAAAAGGAAATGAAAGTCCGATACCCAGAATTATTCTCGAACCAAGGTAACTCAAGTTTGGGGACCAAACTTCTTTAAGGGGGGTAGGATGTAATAACCCTCACGCTATCCTAACCATACTTATGCATTCATGTGATTCTGTCTTGTAAACTTACATTTCAAGTCTTGTCCTTGTTCGCTTAAGTGTTACAGTAAGTTTTGTACCTTGCTTGGTTTGGGTTTAGCCGAAGTCATTTTCAGTCTGGAATTATCTTGGAACCACCTTGTTTGACCTCTACTTTTGCTATGACATACTGGCCGAGATGTCATTATCTAGGCCGAGGTGTTCATCACCAAGGCCGAGGTGTGAATCATCTAGGCCGAGATGTTACCTTTACACCCAAGTGATCTTGTCTCGGAGTGGTATGACCTAGACCGAGGTGTGACACAGCTTAGTCAAGTGTTGTCCTTCCTAGCTGAGGTCATTGTTCCCTACTTGCCGATGTCTTGTTATTAGCCGAGATCATTACTCGCCAGAGTGCCCATGCTGTCTTGCTTATTGAACACACTTTGTCATAGTTCTGTCTTGTCACCCAGCCACCTTTCTGTGTAGCACAAACCAGTCGCTGCCACGTGCCTCTGTAGAGGGTTAAGTTAGCCAGCAGACTTAGAAATGTATCATTTTGCTATATGTCTTTGTTTGTGAGGAGAGAGAAGCTCTAGAGGAAGAAGAAGAAGTTTAGAGTGAGAGAGTGAGTTTCGAGCTTGATTCCTAGAGATCAAACCATTAGATTCGCGTATTGAGGTTAGATTCTCGATCTACTCTTGTCATTCTTATTGATCATCTAGCTGCATTGCGTGATCGAACCCGTTTTGCATGTCATGCATCGATTTAAAAGTTGGTTTTAGAAAGAGAAAATGGTGTTCATGTGTTCTTGAAAGAAAAGTCTTGTTTGATCTGAAAGTTTGCATTAAGATTCATGTTTTGTGTTTGTTTTTACAAGGTCCTTGAATATGGGTACCCAGGTCCATGTTTTTGAACTCATAGCATGAAATTTCAGATTTTGTAATAGCAAATCACGATCCTTGCATTCATCTTCCTCATGTGCATGTTCTTCATGTTCATCATGTTCTTCAAGAAAAGGGAAACCCAGATTTTTCCTGACTTCATTCCTTTGAGTGTGGCCATCGAGGCTACACCTCGGCAAGGGGGTGTAGAACCTCGACCTAGACTTGGTAGTTGCCCAGCATATTTTCCCCGAGATAAAGAACTGTATTTGTTTTGATTCGGCTTAGTCTTGAGGAATGAGATCATCTGCATGCATGTGAAACTTGTTTGAAGGTGCAGTCAACATATTTTGCCATGTGTTTGTAGGGTTTGGACTTGCCTTAACCCCGACGTTTGAAGAACTAAGCGAGTAGTATTTTTAATAAAGCTATGTTATAACGCTTTGATGAAGTCTTGTTTTGCTTCGTTTTGGAAAGTATTTGTAAGCATGAATGGTTGTTTCTAATTGGAAAATATATATATCTTGTTTGATGACATTCTTGGAAGTCCATACGTGCTAAGGGACTATAAGCACTTGTAGCACAAAGTTTGGAAGTCCGTACGTGCTAAGGGACTATAAGCACTTGTAGCACAAAGTTTGGAAGTCCGTACGTGCTAAGGGACTATAAACATTTGTAGCACAAAGTTTGGAAGTCCGTACGTGCTAGGGGACTCTAAGCATTAGTAGCACAAGTCCTTAGTGTCCGGGGACTATAATGCAACGACACCATTGAATTGAGATATCTCCCTTGTCTTGCCTTGTCTTGTCTTGTTTGCCACTGACGGATTACCGCGTGGGTTTCGTTTGCCGAGATGTCATCACTTGTATTATATTGGTGTTAGTAAGCACCCTTTGAAACCTTGACAGATTTGGAAGATGGACTTGGTTCATCCCTTGACTTGTACTAATTATGTTATATATTGCTTTGATAAAGATCTTGAATACCAGTCATGCAAACCCCTTTATTTCTTATACCATTCACTGAGTATCCAAGCTCACCCTCTCTATATATATGTAGGTGATGAGCAGGAAGGCGGTGACGCCTAGGTGTGACTCGCAAGCTTGTTTTGGGTTTTGGTTATGTCGGCTTAACTTGTATACATGTCGGCAGTCTTGAAAACTATGCTTCTCGACTTATAATGCTTGTAATTTACACATGTCGGCTGGAGAAGCCTTTTGATCAAGATGTAAAATGTATTTTGTACCTTATTGTAATTGTATCCAAGTTGTAATACTATGTAAAGTTGTATGTCATTCCATGTAACTTACGCACTGCTCTTATGGACCGTTTGTATTTTTTAAAATTAATGCTTCCGCACTTGTGAGCCCCATATATATATTTATACTCTCATTGTGTGTGTGGTTTTTTTTTTGGAGGTTGGCTTTCGATAATCCCGAATTATTGGCCATCACGGCACCAAACTAGTAGGGACAGTTTGGGGTCGTGATAATATTACTACCACCACTAGTTATAGACACTAGTTGCCACCTCCAATTATTTTTCTAGCCATTTTCCAACAACTTTTTCGATGTCGGTGAATTTTTCGGCTCCAATCTAGCAACAATGGGAAAAAAAAAATTTTGTTCAAAACAATAATTTGTCCTTTGTGCCAACTAATTTCATTAATCATGCCTTTGTCTCCAAAAAAAAATCAATCTTTGAATCTAATGTCATATCCCCATAGAAATGAACTTATCACCAATAATCCCTATAAAATAGTGAAATAAATAAATAAACCCATTTAGCTTGTTTGGTTCTGGTTTTCAGAAAACAGTTTTCAGAAAATTCTACTTTTTTATTTTCCATATTTTAATATTTTCAATGAATTTGTTTAATATTTTAAGCAATTTTTTTATTTAATTTTTTGGCACACCTAACATAAATACACTTAAAAAATATAATATTTGTGAAAAAAATATTTAAAAAATACACTAAATACCAAAAAATACAAAAAAAAATACGAAAATTCAGTATATTTTTTGTATTTTTGTGCATTTATTAAATTTTTAAAATATTTTTTTACAAATATTTTACTATTTAGATACATCTAAGTAGTGTATATCTAAAAAATATAAAAAATTTCTCAAAATTTTAAAAATATTCATTAAAAACAAAAAAAATACGAAAAATAAAAAACACAATTTTTAGAAAACTGAAACCAAATACACTGATTGGTATTTTCCCTTTAATTCACTTAGAGCCTATGAAGCACGTGTACGAGTACGAGTACTGGTACGTCGATAAGGTAAAATTCAAAAAAAGTAGGGTACAGATATGGTTTGGTATGCTTGTAAAAAAAATATTTATTTTTAATTTAGAATAATGTAAAAATTAATTAAATGATTTAATTTGTTAAGATTTAATCTACAATTAACATTTAATGTCAAAAGTAAAGGTATAAATCAAAATTAAATGTCAATATATTAAATAATTTACAAACCATAGTTTAATTTTAAAAACATGTTAAGTATAAAACTAAAAATAAAAAGAAGTCTAGTGAAAGAAGTTTTATCTCTGTAGTAGAAAAAAATATTGTTTCAACTAAGATACGGTATGACTTGGGTATATAGTAGGTATGTCTGGATACGTCAAAAATTAAGAAGAAAAAATTTAGATACGTGTTTCATATACCCAAATATATATACAAAAGTATCATACGAGATACTATATGCCGATAAATACCCAATATGAATACAACATAATTTTTAAAATACCCATGCTTCATAGCTTAGAGCATTTACAAACTCTGATTATCTTTTAAGATTGTTCTTATTGTTCTGATGCGCAAGTTCTTGATGTAATCCCAACTAATTAAGATTTTAAGAAAATAATACTTTAATTGGCACCACTAGAAAAAGTAGGAGGACATGGTGCCGTTTTTTTAACGGCGTTGTTTTTTAACGTCACTATTATTAATATTTAACATGTTTTATAAACACCGCATATTTTTTTTGGAACAAAATGACACCGTTTTATAGTCGGAGGCGTTTAGAAACTCTTCCAAATGCGGTAGCCGCACACGCCTTCGTTTTTGAAACCTTTATTTTGAATCTGAGACTCTCTCTCTCAACTCTTATACGCACACATCTCTCTCTCTCTCTCTCTCAACTCTCTCTAATCTCCATCGATGATTCAGGTCAAAGCTCCATCGCAGCGATTTCAAAGCTCCATCGCCAGCACCATCTGCACCGGCGAGGTAGCGAGCTCCACCATCTGTCTCTCTGTCTTTAGATCTATGAAATCAATGTTTTAAGGCATTCTTACTTGATCCTCATTTGCAGAGATGCAGAGATTCAGTGATTTCCAGAAGCTCAGATCTAAACTACGATCGATCTCTGGCGATGGCGCAGATGGAGGTGGTGGCGCCGTACGCCCTCAAGAACACCTCGAGTTAGTGGGATCAAATTGACGAGTCCCCCATTTGGCAGAATCGAATATTTCACGTCCTCGCTGTTCTCTACGGCATTGTCGCCGCTGTTGCTCTGGTACGCCATTCGAAATTTTCTAGAGAAAATTGTTCTTGACTCTGTGTTGTGATGGATTTAATGTGGATTTATTGATTCACCATCTAATTTCACCTATATAATCCGAGTTTTCTTGAGGATTTTGTAGTATTGTTGTTCTTTACTTTGGTTGTGATTGCTTTCTTTTCGGTATTTAGATGAATTTAACGTGAATTGTGGATTCATGTTGATTAGGGTTTCTTGGGTTTCAAATTGAATGTTTAGGATTTTACTTTACTCAAATTTCATTGATGAGAAAATTAGGAAACATGTAAATACTACCAGGTTTATGTTTTGATAAATATGGAAAACTCATACTTTAATTTAAAAGCCTAATTAGCTTAATTAACTTCAGACTTTAAGATCTTGTTATTTTGTTGATGTTTCTTCATTCTGATGGATATACCTAGCTGAGTCTGTAAGTAGAAAATCTCTAGTAGGCAATAATTAGCATAATTTTGGTTACTGAGGAAATGAAGAACCATAATTGCAAGTGTTTATTTTATTTTTTATTTATTTTTTCTTCTTCTATGTTTTAACGAGTTAGTTAGCCTTATATTTTTTACTCATATTGATCTTTGGGAATAAAGAAAATATTTAATGGCTGAATTTTCCTATCCTGTATGTGAAAAATGGAAATGTCAAATAATCTTTATGTACTTTTAGAGCTAGTAAATATAAATACGAGTATTGGAATCAAGGTTTTGAAAAGCGGTTGCGGTCGCTGTAACGGTGGCGGTGCCGCGCTTGCGGTTGCGGGGTGTAAAGGCCGTAGCGTAACGGTTGCGGTAACCGTAACCGTGAATTTTTTTATTTTTCGCACAATTTGAAAAAAACTTACCGATACGCATATTTTTTTTCCATAATCATATTTATTGTGTTTTAAAATAAATATTGATCAATTTTTATAAATTTTTAAGTATGATTCAATATATTTCATATTTTTAAATCATTATAAACTGAGTTTTTACATTTTTTTTTACTAATTAATGACTTTATATGTCATAAATCCATATTACACTTGTGGTAAAAAAAAATTATTGGAGTTAGACGTATAAATTTATTTTTTAATTATTATACTTGTAGAAGCATATGCAAATTTTAACTTGAATAGTTTTTAAAAAATAAATTAGACATGCTAATATAATCATATAAAAATTAAAAAATAAATTATAAAGAATTTTTTTTGGGGGGTTTGGATCAGTTGAATATTCATTCTCTTTTTAGATAACCTGTAAATAAAAATAAAATAAACTAATAAAAATTGACATGTGTAAAATATCTATTAATATATAATTATAGGTGTTATGTTTTCTAGATATTTTATAAAAAAATCAATCACTAATTATTATATATAAGATAAACCAAGACAAAAGTAAGAGAATAAATAAGAGTCTAAATATATATATATATATATATTTTAATCAAGCCAAATCGATAATGACCACATTATTATTATGATTTTCAAATAATATATAGATAGATACATACAAACAAAATGGTTGACTGATAGTAGCTGAATAGAATATCATAGGTCTTACAGCTTCAACAAATCAATAACATATTATTCATCTTCCCTCTTCTCTCTCTATCCCCTTTTCCCTATTTTCAGTTTTTTTATTTTTTATTTTTTATTTTTTTTAAAGAAACAGTTCGGAACCGTTACGTAACGGTACGTAACAGGCCGTTACGGCCGTTACGGCACCGTTACGACCGCTATAGCGGCCGCTACGGCCAACACACCTGTGAATCTCAATCACACTGCAAAAGCGGCCGTAACGGGTGGCCGTAACCACCAAAACCGTTACGTAACAGCGTTACGTAACGGTTGCGGCCGCTTTTTAAAACCTTGATTGGAATCAATGTTTGAGAAATATTGTGGCAACGAATAAGGTTTTTAATTTTCCAGAAATTGATTATGATTAGTTATTTATTTTCTCAATTTCGTGGTGAATGGGGGTGTGTATTTTTTAAATGATTTATTGTTGTCCTCCTGCACTTAATTAGCAAAAGCTTAGTTAATGAAATTTGTTGTACCTCCTTTTGTTAAGCTTTATCGAGATCTAAAGAAATTAGTTTTTATTTTTTTATTTCCAAGTTTAAAAACTCTTATTGATCATACATTGTCAAATATGGATATTGGACTAGTGAGAAGAGGGAATGGGTTGAACTATCAAGATCGGCCCCTTTATTGATCCTGTAGTTTGGGACAAAATAGGTAAAGATTTTGACTTCGACTTTGCTTTTATTTGTGTTCTCTTTATAGTGTTCTATCTAGATTTTTGTTCTATTTATACTTTTTTTTTTTTGCCATTAATGTTCTTCACAGTAATGCTTATGTTTTGATCGGAGTACAAGAGTCTTTTGTGAAGGCATGGTGAGTGAGATTGCTGACTTTGAGACTGTTAGGGATATCAAAGAGAAGCTTTGCTACATAAGGTTAGCGAATATCACCATAGTTTGGTTTGTTTTTATGGAATTTGAGATTGTTCTATATTTCTCTCTGTTTTGCAACACCTCGAGAATTCATGTTTAGTAGATTTTTATGACAATTAGATTCAATGGTCAGTGTTTAAGTCTAATTTGATGAAGATGGTATGCAATATTTAATTTTCTCAAATTGTTGTCCGTGAAGTTTTGAGATTATTAGTTTCAATTGTTGTCAATTGTGGATGCTAAAGACTTAATTTTTATGTGGTTTTCATGCTTTTTTTAGGTTATCCTTTTGAAAGCAATCTGTGATCTGTGCTGTTGCTTTCCACTTGATAGTGCAAAGGCACAATTTATTCATGTCGTAGATTGTGAGGAAATTTCTACTCAACTATCCCATTTTGTATAGCTCAATTTTAATGCTGGGTCCAACATTCCTGAAATTTTATTGCCAGGCCTAACATTCCTAGTCAATTTGTAGAACATTTCTACTTGATTTAATGCCGGGCCCAAATTTCTTCGTTACTTTGATAGTGGAAGCACAGGAAGCAGTGGCGGCAATAGAAGCAGGTATGATAATCTTTTTCTTTCATTTGTTCCGTTTATCGCATATCCTTAAATTGATTGAATTTTTTTAAGCAGTGAATAATCTTGAATAAAACCCATGATTTTGATTTTGAGTTATTTTCTTGACTTTTAGACAATAAGTGCTAGCCATGGATGATTTTGTGCGACCAAGGTGAACGATTTGCAGGTTTCCTTCAAAGTTGCAGATGCTTTAAATAAACCAGAATCTGGATGTTGTTAAGGTACATCCAAGACAATAACTAACTAACTATAACCGTCTCACTACTATCCGTACCATACACATCATCCACAACTTGTGAGTAAATCTATCACCATCCATTTATGTACTACTACTCAATCTCAAATCACAACATCATGTATGTCAACGGTAACTGATTTAATCATGACCTAGCCCACACCAAAGAAAACATAGTAGTGTCTCTCCCCATTTCTCTCCATTCCCAGCTCTTCAAATACTCTCTCTCTCTCTCTCTCCATTTTGAAGCTCTTGAAACATTCTCTCTGAAGAATAGCTCGAGTTACTATTGCACTAAGTGTGTTGGTTTTGCTAATGGCAACTCTGATCATCTCTGTTGGATCTTTGAGATCTTCGTAGGACAATCACCGCTACAAGGAAGGAGATCACATCCCATTGTTGGCTAGCACAGTTTATCCTTTGAATAATAAATGGTAATCATTTCGATTCTCTGTGAAAGCTCTAGTACTCATTCCAAGTTCTTGATTGTTTTTGGGTGAATTAAGTTCTTGACTGTTCTATCATTGGAATCTATACTCTGTTTTTTGAATCTGTAACATCACATATGTATCTGATTTGATTGATTTCTGAATCTATCACCCTGTCATATAGGTAGATAACTAAATTAGTTTTTTTTATTTTTTTGAAGACTATCAAAGTGAAAATTTCTAGAACTCAAGAATTATCTTGTGTGTGTTTGTCTTGATCATTTTTGGATTAAGATTGCTTTATCAGTGCATTAATTAATCCTTTTGTTCTATGCCTGATTGGATTCTTAATCATGCTTTGCAATTAGGTTTGCTCACATTCATATTTGTACAGTTTTTATGGAATTTTTCTTGACAACTGTTGTCAGTGACCAACTTCTTGATTTTGATTTGAGAGTAGTATCCGAAAAAAAAAGAAGATATTTTAGAAATAATCTCTTCGTAGCTTTGCTTTTCCATCCTTTTTTATTCTACACAGATTGCCTCATTGTGTCTTTGTCTGTGTGTGTGCTTTTATTTGGAACAAGTTGAATCCCCTTTAAATTATGTCTTTTGGAACAAGACAATTGGTATTTCTCAAATTGAGAAACAAAAGACGAGACTATTTTGGATTTCAATATATGAAAGAATAAAGAAAATCAGATTAATTCATGCTATAGTATAGTAGTAACCAATAAATGGGTAAAAAGTATACCCAACTTTAGGTTACTCCCTTCAACATAAACAATTTGATATTTTACTATTTTGCTTATTATTTATTCTGGTTCCTGACAATTATATGTCAACACCCGTGTAAGAAAACTACTGGTTGTGTGTCGTATTCTAAAAAATACGAAACTCCTTGCATGTAGAAAAGTGGCTTGGTAGCATGTGAGTTGATGGGAAATTTAAAAACATACAGTTCAATACTCATTCATTCCAAGTTCTTCATTCAACTTAATAGGCATCATTTGCTTTTATGCTTTTCTCTTTTCTTCTTCTTCTTCTTTTTTTTTTTTTTGAATTAATTGAAGTGTTTTTGTTCTTGCAGTGCGGCGATCCCATACTTTAAACTGCCCTTCTGCCCCCCAGGATGTAAGAAATTAAATTTAAGGAAAATTGTTGATGTTGTTTTGTACATGTATGCTACTAAATATTTGCTACCTACTTAATAAATATGTGTGCCTACAATATTAACTACACGACAAAAGAGTCATTCTTTAGATTTACACGAGTGTAATACTTATAGGCACAAAATATAGAATATTTATCAAACTATGAATGTCTTCAAAAGCCATGTATCTGCGTGTTTGTTTATGTGTGCATCAAAATTTTATTGGATTTTATTTGATGGACCCGCAGAGTAAATAGAGACAAAAATATGAGTTTATGTTCTGCAGCTCCAATAACAAATAGGAGGAAAACCTTGGAAGAAGTATTAGAGGGTGACTGCTTTTGTGAGAAGAACCTGACCAAAGAAGAAGTTGCGTAGTTTAGGCATGTAGTCCGCAATAACTTTGAATACAAGATGTACCATAACAACATCCAAATTCTGGGTATAATTAGTTTGAATTGTATCTTTTGTGCCGGTCTGTTTTGTAATAACTTTGAACTTACCACTAGGCACTAGTTTAACTTTATTTCATCTTGGAATTGAAATATTTTTGCATATTGAGAAGTATGAATTGATCCAATATTATGTTTACCTAAATTTAGTCAATATATTGAATATTTTTCATCTTTATACAGGTATTTTTTTTTAGTTAAATTTCACAGAATTAGTACAATTTCAAAAAAAAAAAAATGAAGCTATAACGACGTTTTTAAATGCTACTATAGAATAATGCCAACGGTTATATTTTTAAAATAGAAAAGATCTATCACGGTGTTTTTAAAACGTCGCTAAATGTAGTGTGACGTCATTGTACTGTTTTGTAGCACATTTAGCGGCATTTTAAAAAACGTCGCCCATACTAATATAGCAAAGCTTTTAAAGTGTCATAAAGTCATAACGATGGTTGCATCTTCGGCGTTTGGTACTAAACGTCAGAAAAATAATTAGCAGTGTTTTTCATAGCTATAGTGGCGTTTTTTAAACGCCACTAAAAACCTAATTTCCAGCATTGTGGGGACTACTGATTAAATGATGTATATGAAAAAAATAGGTCATGTGTGATTTAACTAACCACTATTTCTTGTTCAGTTCTTTTCTTTATATTGTTGCATTTCTATGCGAGGAACATTAAATGATGTATATGAAAAAAATAGGTCATGTGTGATTTAACTAACCACTATTTCTTGTTCAGTTCTTTTCTTTATATTGTTGCATTTCTATGCGAGGAACATAGGAGGAACGGTTTTAGATAATATATTTCTCATTGGATGTGGATGGTCACCTATTGTTAGGGCTGGGCATATGGTTATTCAAATCGCACAATCTGAACCGATCCGTATATAAATGGACGATTTTGCAGACACAATGCAAGCAGATATGGTTTGGAATATGACATTATTGTGGATTACGGATACAGCAAGAAACCGTCCGCACTTCGATTTTTTTTTTTTTTTTTTTAACCTGGACCGTTGATTTCATTCATCCTGTCCTAGATAGAGTTTGCAAATTTGGAAATGTCTTTATTTTATTTAATGGGTTTGAATTGGATGAAGTTTGATAACAATTTATTGTTATTTTATTATTGCATTTTGGATGAATGTAAGAGTTAATGAAGAATTATTTTTAGATAAGTTAAGGATTTTGAATGATTTTACTTTAATTGTATTGTTAGGTAGTAAATGATTTTGATGATTTAGTTTAAGATTTTGAAAGATGTGCTTATGTTAGTTTATAGTTTTATTTAAAAGTTTAGGGTTTTAAATGATTTGCTTGTGTTAGGAATTGATTTTGTTATGTTTTTAATTTTATAAGTTTTAATTCATTAATTATTGATGTTGAGCATTTTAGAAAATGGGAAAAAATGGCCCAAAATAAATATTTACAAAACAGGGAGAAAAAAAAAAGGCTCAAAAATAAATTTTTAAAGACAAAAGTTTAATCTGCAAACTGCTCGCACATTCGCAAACTCTATCCGCACAAAACGCAATCTGCATTGCGGGTGGTTGCAAGTTCAAATTTTTCCAAACCTCACATATGGACTCTATCTAGGTAATTGTTGATCGTTTGACTAAATCCGCACATTTCTTACCTATAATGCGGATAAATTGGGTAACATTTATGTGAATGAGATTGTGAGATTGCGTGATGTACCAGTATCTATTATCTGACAGAGATCCCAAGTTTACTTCGAGATTCTAGCAGAGTTTGCAACAAGCTTTGAGGACTGAATTGAGATTGAGCAATGCTTATCACCCATAAACATATGGCCAATCTAAACGGACTATTCAAACTTTGAAAGATATGTTGAGATTGTGTGTGTTGGATTTCCAAGGGAATTGGGAGACTTATTTGCCTCTGGCCGAGTTTGTGTATAATAATAGTTATTACTCAAGTATTGGAATGGCTCTTTACGAAGTTCTGTAGGGTAGGAAGTGCCAGTCTCCAATTTGTTAGGCTGAAGTAGGCGATAAACTGTTATTGGGACTAAAACTTGTGCAAGAAACAATTGAGAAAGTGAAATTAATTCAACAACGTTTGAAAACCGTCCAAAGTCGCCAGAAAAGTTATGCAGATGTCCGAATGAGAGATAGAGAATATAAAGTCAGTGGCCACGTGTTTATAAAAGTAACTCCAATAAAAGGGCAAACTAAATTTGAGGTTAAAGACGAGTTGGCACCATGGTACATTGGCCCGTATGAGATTATTGAGAAAATTAACCCGTGATATGTCAAGTGGCCTTACCTCTAGTTAAGGAGAATATGTACAATGTTTTTCATATCTCAATGCTTCGGGATTATTTGAGAGATCTATTGCATGTGATTGAACCAACTCATGTACTTTTGAAAGATGATTATACTTACGAGGAACGACCAATCCAAATTGTCATCCGAAGAATCAAGAGATTAAGAAGCAAAGAGATTCCATTGGTAAAGGTTGATTAGCAAAATCATGGATGAACCTATGCAACATGGGAAACAGAATAAGATATGATGAACAGATATCCAGATTTATTTCCACTGGACCTAATGTTCTTCCAAACTGAAGATAATTCGAGTTTGAAGGACGGAACTCTTTAAGGGAGAAAGACTATCACAACCCGACCTGTGATTAGCCCATAATTCATAATTAAGAATGCCTCATAAGTAATTAAAAGGAAATTTTGCGTTAATTACATTTGTAATGTGCTATTTGTGCTTATATCTGTTTGATGTATAAATATCTATCTGTATTTCCGATTCAGTATGTGTAACGCTCCAAAATAATTACAATATCCAATATATAACAAAAACAATGATAAGGTTATCTTCTATTAATTCAATATGACATACAAAAGAGAAACATATGCATCATATATTCATAAAAGCCTAGCATTAAATCTTTAGTATATGTTGTCAGTTAAAGGAGAGGAAAGAAGATAAACAGATAAAAATGCCCTAAGGGCTTACATGTTTCCAAGATGAGGCTTAGTTACAACAAGAGTGGACTTTAAATCTAATATATTTAAGCCCTTGGCTATACAGATCAACCAGAAAAAAGAAGCTCTTGCTCTAAATCCTCCCAAACTAGTGTCTTAGCGGAAGCATATCATCAGCATCTGAAATGTTTTTCTTACATAGGGTGAACCAGAGCCTAATGAAGACAATCTAACACAACATATGGATCTTAACAAAGATATAAGTATAGTAAGCACATATAATGCCCGTGATAAAATCATTTATAACTTTTTTACAAAATCATACTATGTCGAACTCATAGTCGATCCATGTTATCTCAATTCATGAGTCATTTCCATTTTATTCAGACAACCAAGCTGATAATTCAACTTAGTGGGTCTCTAGTCAATACAATCATCATACAAAACACTTTCGTTTTCCATTTTATAGATATTTCGTCTGCAGAAATCAGCATCGATGTATATTTATAGTTCTCAAGACTTTCACCCTAGACACTCCGGCCAACTTAATTCAAGGGAGTACATCCTCTTTCTTCTCCCAAACATCATACATGTGGAATGTATTTAAGATGTGACAAGGCTCCATATAAATGGATGAGAAAATTAGTTTCAATTCATCTAATTCTCATGCAATTTCTACAACAAGCATAGTTATCCTCCACCGATAGCCAAAAATAGATATTTTTAAACTGATATATAATCTCCAAGACAGATAAATCATCCAAATTCCATAGGTGAGTAATAATACATATCCTACTCCACCATTTATATAACCATCAATTCAATTTTACATTTTACATTTTCAATACCAATTTCATTTTATTTATACAAAATAAACATTGGAGACATTTTAGGGCAAACTACCCTTTCTTTCAAAATCCAACCTAAATGCCAAAATCAACAATTTTTACTACAACACAACCTCATACTCACACCCGTAACCATATCCAAAACATCCTTTTGCAAATCCCTCCTTTGATTTTAAGCCAAAACCCTAGGTTTGTTCAAAACTTTCCAAACATCACAATATGGTTTATACAACATAAATAGCTAAGTAGAAGAGTGTAGAAAATCCCTATCTCAAACTTAGAAGAGGGAGAAGGAAGAAAAGCCCAAAAGTTGATGATGACAAAACAATGATTTGCTCCGATCAAAATGAAGCCGTTGACAAGCTCTACACTTAATCTCAAAGGAGCAAGGTGAAGAGATGCTTCCAAGTAAGTAGATCTAAAGATCTTTGAGAGAAAAAGTGATTTAGAGAGAGAGAGTGTGTGTCTCATGGTTTAGAGAGGGGAATGAGAAGATAAAGTGATGAAAAGGTTAAGTGAGGGACTTATTTATAGTGCTAGGTCAAAGTGAAATGAAGTCCCAAAGTTAACCCAAAAGAATAAGTCAAAATCCCTAAGAAGTAGGGCCCAAAACCTACTAAAAATCTGGAAAAGAACTCACAAGGGTCGACCCTGCCCAGACTGGTGTCGACCTTTCAGGAAGAAGTGAAGAAAAACAAAGTTGGTAGCAGCCAAGGTGTCGACCCTTGGGCCCAAGGTGTCAACACTAAATTTCAGCAACCAAACCCAGACTCAGTAATAGATAAGGGTCAACTCTTCCCTGGCTGGTGTCGAACTTTGAGGCCAACAACAAAAGACAAGTGTCGACACCTCCAAGAACACAACAACAAGATGGTGTCGACCTTTCCAACACTGGTGTCGACCCTTGGAGCTTAACAAACACAAAGATAAGAGGGCAGTGTTGACCACAACAAGGGTGGTGTCGACCCCTGAAGTCAAAACCAAATATGAAGAGAAAAGAATGACCATCACGAATATGGTTTCCTAGATTCAAAAACAATAAATGGGATCAAGTCTAAGCCTGGATCACTATAGTATGCGAATTGAAGGCCTTATCGCATTCGATCATGAAATTGACTTGATTTATGTGTTATTTGAAATTTTTAGAATTGTATGGTAGGTTCAATTAGAATTCGATTCGGAACCAAATAATTAGAAAGAATAAATCCAATTGATTAGCCATTAATGAATTTCTTAATCAAGCATATATAAGGCAACTTGTTGACTTAAGATCATTAGATACACCTTCATTTCCTCATCTTTTGAGCTAAAAATGTGGGAGAGGGGGAGAGAGAGAGGGTAAGGAGGAATTGAATTCAAGCTTGAGGATTGTAGAAAATTAGAAGAACTTGGAGGTTTTGGTTTGGAAACTCAACCAATTAGCCATCAAGAGCACAATTGAGAAGCCAAGGTGAACTTGGGGGTTTTGGCTTGGAAACTCAACTAATTAGCCATCCAGAGTACAATTGAGAAGCTAAGGTAAGAATTTAATCCTTTAGTTATGTAATTGAGTTAGTTAGTGTTAGAATTCAAGTGAATTGGGAGATGAATCTCAAGAATTATGCTAAAATTGAAGAATTAAAACTCAAGATATGCATGCATGCATATTTCATAGTAGTTTGAAGTTGATTTCAAGTTATTCTCTCATGATGTCATTATTTCACCTTGGTTTTGGAAATTCATCAACTTTCATGCCATTTTATATCATTTGATCATGTTTTAGAAGGTTAGAGTTCACGACAATTCGTGCATGTTATGTTTTGGAAGTTTCAAGTTGAATTTTGAACAATTGGCTTACTTTTGGGCCTTGATTTTGCAAAATGATCTTTAATTCTTGATATTTTACAAGTTTAGACATGTTTTCTCAAGTTTTGGGCCCAAAGTATGTATTTTAAGGCTTTGAAATTGAGTTTTGCATCTTGTACATCAATTTGGAAATTCTAGAATTCTGCGTCATCGCTCAAGTGACGAAAGTTACGCTCGAGGGACCACCATTTGATTTGCATCTTAGCTTGAGCAAGAATTAGCTCGAGCCTAAAATTCCTAAAATTCATGCTTCCAGACGTTTTACAAAATTTTGTAGACCACTCGAGCGATCAAAATTGCGCTCGAGCGGAGACCATATTTAATTAGTCTTTGGCTCGAGCGATCGTTGAGCAGAAAAATCATGCAACCAACATTTTTGCAGACCGCACAAGCGACCGATGTTGCGCTCGAGCGAATTGCCCTGTTTTTGAAAAATTGACTAAGTGTTCCAATGTACATTTTGGCATCCTCATTGCATCTTGGGTATTCATATGCCTTAATTAAGCTATGATAATGAGGATAAGGGTTACAAACACACCAAGATAGAAAAGAAATTAGTTAAGTATTTTCCAAGTGTGTGTTTCAATGTGTATCCATTATGTGTTTGTGTAGGTCATGTGCCATAGATCGTTTATCCAACTGTTGTGACTCTTTTGCTATTGGAGCTATCTGTGAGTAACAACTTTGAAAGACATGTTGATTATAAGCATTTTCAGAATGATAAAATATGATCTGTTTTATGAAATGCTATTTTATGAAATGCTATTTTATGAATCATGAATGAATGTCCATATTTCTGAAATGTAATTGTTGCATCTTTAGTTCACATGACCCTCGCCAGAGGGTAACAATACCGTGGCTCATGTTCATGTGGTCCTCACCCAGGGGTAACAATACTGCGGCCTATGTTCACGTGGCCCTTGTTTGGGGGTAACAATACCATGGCTATTTGTGCACAAAGATGTTGACCTTTATGGTCGTCGGTACCGACTATGTATGTGGGTCTTGTGGCCAATCTAATCTGATCGCTAATGGATGTACCAAATATAATTGTTTACGAACTCTATATGAGTATATGAATTCTAAATCTGTTTCTGATATGACCTATGATTTCTGAATCAGTTTTGGACATCATTCATAACCCTTTACCCTGTTGTTATTCACTCAGTTCTAGTTCATTTTATTATTCATGTATGTAGGTGATCAGGCGCATGACCAGACTTAGAATTGATTGCCTAAAGTTCCGTTCTGTCAGCCAATCACAGTGCCTCTCGAGGAGGTTCCCATTTTGCACTGGTCTAGGTTTTATGAACCATCTTATAGATCCTTTTGTATTTCTTTTGTTAAGTTGAAACATCCTTTTTGTTTGTCTGTATGTATAGACGATGACGTAGGTATGATGTCTTAAATATGTAAATGAAGTTTTAAATTTCATGTTCCATATATGTCTACATAGCTCTATGGGCATTGTATTCTTGTGTTAGCTTCTGCTAGCTCCTGTATTTGTCTAATTTGTTCAGAGGTCTTTGGTAATCCTAGGATTATTGGCTGGTTACATCACTAAACCTATAGGAGTGTGTTTGGGTCGTGACACGCCTACTCTGACTGCCAGAATTGTGGGACTAGGGGCGCTCATTGTGGTGTCTAACTCCAACAACGCCCTTTTCCTTCAGCTGGCACTTCATGGCCTCTATTTCCGTCACCATCTTTCCGATGATGGCATCTTGGTCCCTCAATTTGCTCTCCAAGTGCTGAGTGCATGACTCTCGCCATCGGCGGTGTCCTTCTGGGCTTAGAGAGCGCCCAGAACTCCTTGCGTGTTTGTCTCGCTCGTCTTTGAAGGGCCTTAGCATTAAGACCCCCAAACCAATCATTGTCGAAATGACAGGTAAGTCATTGCATAGTTTGACTAAATTTGGCATAATGCCATTGATAACGGACTTCGGAACGTCGTTGTTGTTCACCATGGAAAGTGATTAGAAAAGCTTGGAGGTGATGGTTTTGTCTATTGGATTCCCACAAACAAAACCCATTGTACGAGGAGCAAATATTCTTCGCTTCCGTACTCTTTATGTCCAAGCTTCATGTAACTCCAAACGGTATCATAGAATTTGAAAATACAGCGACGGTGAGCTACTTGGCAAGTGTGTTGCTGAAAAATTGCTTCTACGGTCAAGTTAGCACTCTTAGAGAGAAGAAGACAAAAGACAGGATAGCTCTGTGGAAGGAAGATCGCAGACCTGTTGCATAGAGGCGCTGCAGGGTTTATATAGTTTGAGCGCACTACCTTTCTCATCTTTTTCTATACGCATAGATGTACTATCCTCTCTTCGCCCTACACATGTATGCATCAATATTGCCAAATAGCATCGACAAAACAACCAAACGGTATTGACATGTACGAATGGCGAGTTCCCTCTTTTGCACTTCAATTGGGCCGCGTGACAACTCCCGCCGAGCTTTCTATAGCCTGGTGCGCGCCTATCCGCTCTTCAAGACTAGCTATTTCCAACTGGCCTAGATTTGAGGTATCCAATTGGTCACCTTTAGCTCAGTCAAGCTAGTTGAACTCATCCCAGCCAACCTTGCCCGGCCTTGAAACATGGCTGACACGGTTAGTCCGCTCTTAGCGGAGTTGCCAATCTCAATCACTCCTCTGCTCGGTGATATTCTGTTTATGTAGGCAAATTCCGCCTAGCTTCTTAGCTCGGTCGAAAGCTAGGCTACCACTTGACCGAGCTCCAACCTTAGTCTGAACTGGCTAGACATCTTGGCCCAACACCTAGGCGTCTTTCTAGCCTAGTAATAATGTCAAGAGTTAGGCCTAAACTTGATTTTGCTCGGCCCATTTGTTTGACACACATTCTCCATTATATATATATATATATCAAAAATCATTACAAAAAGTCAATTCAATTTTTCGATTTCTTTTTCACACATCTATTTTTAAAAAGTAAAAAAATATTAAAAATCTAATTTCCAAATACCCCTTTAGAATTAAAAGAAAAATAAGTAGAAATCTAAAAAATAAATTACAAATACACCTCTTCAAAGTTGATTAAAATATGAATTGTCTATTGTAATTTCAAAATTTACAAATATTTCTTGTCAAAATTTTTTATTAAATAAAAAATAAAATACCTAACTATGTATTTATAATTTATCGAAAAATAAAATAAATAAATGAAATAAATTGCCGTGTGTGGGAAGCATAACAGAAGAGCTAAATACAAAGTCACTTATCAGCTAAGACGTCTGCTAAGATAAGGAAAAGAAAAAATGAAAAACAAAGTCCCCTGGCCAGCGAGCGAAGCAAAGGCTAGTCAAAGGCGCGGAAGCGGGACGCTATCCAATGAAAAGGGCATAAAGTTAACGACAATGCTACGTAGTTCAAATTTTGTGGCTTAAAAGTGGCTCAAATGGCCAAAACGATGTCGTTTTGAGTACAAAACAACATAAAAATAGCCAAAACGACGTCGTTTTGGCCATTTGAGCCACTTTTGAGCCACAAAATTTGAAGTACGAGACATTTTTCTAAAGTTAATAATTAGGCCTCGTTGAAAAAATTAGATTTATATTAAAATAAAATAAAATACTACATTTAAATTATGTTTTTTTTAGTCATAACTATTAAATCAATTAAAAAAATTATCTATCATCTTAAATATAATTTTTTTAATTAAATTAAAATAATCAAAATATTAAAACGCCAATTATAAATAAAGAGATACTTTAAAGAGCTAATTAAAAATTAGTTTTTACCTTTTAATTCATTATATATCACATTACCTCTCATATTTGTTATTTATAAAAAATAAAAAAAAAAAAAATTAAATCTTAAGTAACTTTTCAAATCACTCGAAATAACTTATTCCCTAACGCATCTTTAGTCAAAGAGCAGTCATTCAAATTTATAAAAATCCAATCCAATCCAATCCAATCTAATTCAATGCCAACGAACGAACCACCGCGTTCGCCTTCGCCTTCGCGCTCGGTTAATTTCGTAATTAATCTTAAAATCCAGTCCCCGAATGACCTCCTCTTTCCGTACTCATATAATATCTTCTTCCCTTCCTTCCTAGAAATCCTCAAAAAACACACACGCACCCGGACTCCTCCCCACACCAACCCCACTCTCTCTCTCTTAAAAAGTCTTCTCCACAAAAACTCTCACCCAAAACTTGACTCTATATACATAGATTACATATTATCAGAGACTATACACATCGTTTGAGTTTGGACCATGACTCGGCGATGCTCTCATTGTGCCAACGACGGTCACAACTCTCGAACATGCCCCTCCAGAGCAGGTGTGAAGCTGTTTGGGGTTAGACTCACAGATGGTGGTTCGATCATCAAGAAGAGTGCCAGCATGGGGAACCTCTCTGCTCACTATCATTCTTCTTCCTCCGCCGCCGCTTCACCCAATCCCAGCTCTCCTTCCTTGGACCCGATTCATGACCCGCTTCACCTGCCCGATGGTTACCTCTCAGACGACCCTGCTCACGCCACCTCTTCCTCCAATCGCCGTGCCCAACGCAAGAAAGGTACTTCCTTGTTTTGTTTCTATTCCAATCCAATCCAATCCAATCATATCATTTCTTTTTTTGTTTTCTTTTTCAAACACAATTTTTTTTGGCTGATAATTGATAAGGAATTGTTTAATTTTGAGATATGATTTGGGAAAAGGGAAAAAAAAATAAAAAATTAACACGTTATCATTTACGCTTGTATGATCATTCAATTATAGGGTTGTTTTGGAAAGTTGGTAAAAAACTGCTTTTGGCTTTTTACCAAGATTTTTGGTTTTTTTGGAAGTGATTTGGGAAGTTGGTAAAAAGCTGACTTTTTGTTTTTTAGTTTAATATTTATTTATGGTGTCAAATCAAATTAAAATGACCAAAATACCTTTACTCAACATAAGAGAGTTGTTTTTTTATTTATTTTTCATAGGCCCTAATTTGTAATTTTAAGACTGCGTTTTTAGCACTTGCCAAATGACTTTTTTGGCGTTTTTGGCAGCCACGTTTTTACCATCTCAGCATGACATTACTTCTTCCTCAAATTTTTTGTCTAATATAAAAACGAGAATTTAAAGACAATATATTTTTATGTTAAAATTTTGGGACTCATGTGTAGGCCATAATAAGTTGACTCATTATCTAATAGGTCCTATAAAAAAAATTTATTATGAAAAAAAAAGTTATTAATTGTAAGTTTTAGCGATAATTTATAAAAGTCAGGACAAAAAAAAAAAGTCACTAATTGTCAATTTTTAAGGACATATATAAAAATTGTCACAAAAAATTATTTTTAGCGATAATTTTATCAATACTTATTTTCAATAAGACTTGATGGGAATTAAGTCCAACTATTAAGATTTATTGACAGTTTACCTAAAATTTTTATTTTTGTATTTACATAAATTAAATGTACGAGATCTTTCAATTGGTTATTCTGTTTGAGAATATTTCAACATGTAAGTGGGTTGAATTGAAAAAATTATTATATTTTTATTATTGAGGGTCGACACGGTTACAGTAGCGTTTTATTCATTATTCGTTATTCAGATGATGTTAAGATATTTCTTTTAATTTTTGTTTATTGGTTGGATAGAGTATTTATTAATCTATTAGTTTTATAAGGTTGTAGTTTGCGTGAAATGAGCAAAATCAGTGTGGTGTGATGTGGTGTCGTGTGCTTTCGGGGTGGATGACTTGCTTTTGTCACCGTTCGTTTGGGTTTTGACTTGGTCTTCCTTTAATTTAATTTTTATGCCCTTTTTTATAAATAATTTTGGCAAGGTGTGTTATTTGGTTGAGTGCAATAAAAATATAAAATTTTTTTAAGTTTTTTTTTATTTTTTTTATTTTTAAACACACTATTTGTCAGTTTAGGCATATGCACCGTAGAGCATCTCTATTAGATTATTTATATTTTATTTTAAAATATTATTAAAAAATTCATTCTCTATTTTAGAAATTATTTTTTCATCTACTTCCCCTAACATACTTCCTATTCATTTCCTATTCTATTAACAAATTCTATATTTTTTCTCATAGCAATTCATATTTTAGGGAAGTGTTTAAGGAAGCTACTGGAAGTGTATAGAGGCCATCAAACCCCTTAAAATAGGTAGGAAGTGTATAGAGGCCATCAAACCCCTTAAAATAGGTAATGATGGAATATAAGGGTTCTATTAGAGTATCTCCACCAGAGCCCTTAAACCTCCTCCTTACCTATTTTAAGGGGTAAATGGCTTCCTATACACCTGCATTAGCTCTCTTAAATAATCTCATAAATTAGTTTTTGATATAGTGGCTTCCTATTTGTAGGGAGTCACTGTAGCTCCCTTATATATATATGTATATTTGCTTTGTTTTGTTTAGGGATTATAGTACACCTGATATTGATTTTTTCCAACATGATATTTATATGGTTTTTTTTTTTTGTGATCACATGATATTTATGTGGTTGATAGCATGTTAAGTGTTTGCTTTCAACTTCACTCTAAAGGGTACGGTAGGTAGGAAAATGTTATATGTCACACGTTTTTTTTTATTTTTTTGTCACCATTTTATATTTGGTTATTTATTTAAGAATAATATTTAAAGAAATAACAAAAATAAACAATATCTTGTCACTTGCCCTAATGATATAAAATAGTGACTTGAGTCATAAGTTTAATTTTAAAATTTTTGGAATTCCAAACTTTATTTTTTTTGAAGCCAAATGGACAAAACAATTTAAAAGACAATATTACCCTAGCATATCTGTCCATCTATCCACTTGTTATCTCTCTATTTATCTATTTATTACGTATCTATCTACTAAACCTATTTGTCCATATCACTACCACCACTAGTTATAGCAGCTAGCTACCACCTCGGATTATTTTTCTAGCCATTTTTCGACTACTTTTTCGACGTTGGTGAATTTTTCGATGCCAGTCTAGCAACAACAGGGAAGAAAAAAAAAATTTGTTGAAAACAATAATTTGTCCTTTGTACCAAATAATTTCATTAATCATGTCTTTGTCTCGAAAAAATCAATCTTTGAATCTAATATCATATCCCCATAGAAATGAACTTATCACCAATAATTCTTATAAAATAGTGAAATAAATAAATAAACAAACCCATTGGTGTTTCCCCTTTTAATTCACTTAGAGCAGCTACAAACTCTGGTTATCTTTTAAGATTGTTCTTAGTGTTCTGATGCTCAAGTTCTTGATGTATTCCCACCTAATTAAGATTTTAAGAAAATAACAGTTTAATTGGGGACTACTTATTAAAGGATGTATATGGAAAAAAGGGGTTAAGAGTGACAGAGCTAGCAGCTATTTATTGTCCAGTTATTTTTTTAACATTGTTGCATTTCTATGCGGGGAACATGGGAGGAACGGTTTTAGATAATATATTTCTCATTGGATGTGGATGATCACCTATTATTAGGGTTGGGAATACGGTTATCCGAACCGTCCAACCCGAACCGATTCGCATACAAATGGGCGGTTTCGCAGACATAATGCGGATGGATATGGTTTGAAATATGGCATTATTACAGGTTGCGGGTACCGCAAGAACCGTTGATTTCAGTCATCCTATCCTAGATGGAGTTTGTGAGTTTGCAAATGCTTTTATTTTATTTAATGGATTTGAATTGGATAAAGTTTGACAATAATTTATTGTTATTTTATTATTGCATTTTGAATGAATATAAAAGTTAATGAAGAATTACTTTTAGGTAAGTTTAGGATTTTGAATGATTTGCTTGTGTTAGGAATTGATTTTGTTGTGTTTTTAATTTTATAAGTTTTATTCATTAATTATTGATGTTGAGCATTTTAGAAAATAGGGCGAAAAAGATCCAAAATAAATATTTACAAAATAAGAAGGAAAAAAAAAGGCTCAAAAATAAATTTTTAAAGAAAAAGGTTTAATCTGCAAACCGTCCGCACATCCGCATACCCTATCCGTACAAACCACAATCCACACTGCGGGCGGTTGCAGATTCAATTTTTTCCAAACTGTACATATGCAGGCAGGTCCAAACCGCAAACCGAACCGTCCAAAACTGAACAGCGAGCACCCCTCCCTATTATTGTGTATTTATGACTTTGTAGCTCAGTTTTACGGAAAAATACTTGAATCATTTGAGTCTATTTTATTCTCCTTTGTGCTAAAATATTCATGTCGTTTATGTTCTACCGCATGTGTTAATTAATAAAGATTTGGCTAATGATATGCCTAAGAGCTGTCAATAAGAAGCACTAAAATGCCAAAAGATTTATATTTCAATACACTATTAACATATCTGAGAACACTTTCACACATTTCAATGTATTTTTATACACTTTTTACACATGTTTTCAACACTAACAAGAAGTTGTTTTTAGCATTTCCCAATTATTAGATGATTTTCATTGTTGCCTCCCCATATGGGAAGAAAAATAGTCTTGAAAGAGAAATGAGAGTATCACATCCTCTGTAGCATGACTGAGCGACCGAACACATTACATAAAAGGCATGCTTTCCATTTCATGCAATTAAATATCCATCCAAATGAAATTGACATGAACATTATTTTTGACTTTTTAGCCTCCTATTTTGCTAAATGTGAATCAAACTAGTAAATACAATGACAACTGACTTGTTTTTAAGTTTTCCAAGATGTTTTTCAATGGATCATGAATGAACTCATCACCACTTCTTATTGGTTTCCCATCCAAGAAGGGTGAACACTTCCATGGAGGAGGTGTGCCGTATGAGACATCTATGTCGGACATCAACACTCTATAGACACTTGTAAAAGCTTGTTTGGCACTTCTTCAATATGTCTTAATTCAAAATTTATGACACCTTTTCAACCCTCCAAATATGACTTGTATGATGAATCTATTCATAGCAACAATATTATTTATTCTTCAGCATACAACTTGTGCACTTTAACTATATTTTGAAATATTGGTATGATGAATAAACCATTTGTATTTCGATGTTTTACATTCTTTAAAATGCAACTGTTACGAGAATAATATCTTGATGTTGAAGTTATGGAATATTCGACTTTTAATCTTTTATTTAGTGCTGTTACTTTTTTTCATTGCATTTGAATAAACTATTCATATTTTGACATAAAATAAATTTATAAAGATTTGGACTTTTTAACATGTGTGAAGTATAGCATGTCTTGCATTTTTGAAAATCATCATGTCAGCATGGTGTTTGTGTCATGTTGTGTGTCCATGTGTGTACCATGCAGTGTCTCATAAGTTGCGGCATCATTCAATTGATGTTCTTCAACTTAATGTAGTTGTTGATTTCATTGCAAGTGATCAGGCAATGTATCACTGAACTAAGATTTTTCATCTCATCTCAGTTTGGACCTTAAGGCAAACTGATTGCCTTGCTAGAATTGTTTGTCTCCATTGTGCAACTCTTTGTCTAACCACTTCCAGTAAATTTTAGTATCATATCGACTTCATAATTAATGTACAAATATATGGTACAATATAGTTGTTTTACTTTAGGCTATTTTGATTCTTCATCATTTCCTCTTGCTGCATTTGAAATGGTTGAAAAGTTATTCTGTTAGCAGGATTTGTTGGTGATTGTCGTTTGTCTGCACTTGAATTGTGATCTGGTTATTTCCAACAAAAAATACTAGTAAGCTCAACCTCTAATTCAATAGAATGGTGACAAGTTTAGGTGTTGATCTACAAGGACCATTGGATTCAATTGAGTTATTTTAAATGACAGTTGGTAGATTAATTTGAATTAATCGTTTGAGAAGGATTATACTAGGAATCAAAATTGCAAGTTCCTAAATTAACAAAGCGATAGCAGATCGAAAAGTAATATGGAGAGATTCTTATGGATTCAAATCCACCAGTAGTTATGTAACCAAGAAATATGTACAAAGCCAAGGAAGATCATTGATTTGAAACAAATAATGGTTCGCAACTACAAGTCTGGAAACGTTGGCAAGAGGAATGGTGTACTCAAAGCATGGGCATGAATCATCTTCAGTTAGCACAAATCATCTGCACTAAGCTAGGGTTGCAACACCACTCATCTCCCCTTGCATGAAGCTCTCACGCTTTCAATATACATACAATAACAGCAGTGGTATAACATGCATTCCCAACACAAAAAGAACACATAAGTAAGATAAAAGAAAATTATAGATTTAGCCACTCATGGTGAGTAAAGAATCTGCCAAGGTGGGGAAGAACGCCATGGAAAACTTGTAGGAATCACCTCTCGCCTAAGTCGTCATCTTGCAAAAGTAGGAACCCTATTTCAGTCTTCAGAACTTGTATTTATACTCTCCTGAAGCATTAGGTCATTTAAACAGATTTGTGCATGCACTTCTAGGCATTTCTGCTTGTGTGTCCCAAAAGCTTTGCACGCACGGAACTTATATAGTAGATTGCCCCAGAACTCAGCCCAATCTGCTCATGTGGTAGAAAGCAAAGGTATGCCAATAGGGCCCATCTTGCTTAGCCTGAAATCCGCTCGTGCGAAAGGGATTTCGTTCATGTGAAATGTTCTGGAGCTCTTCCTTCTTTATTTCCATCCAATTGTGCGCTTTTCCTTGTTAAGGCATTATGGACCTGCACACATGTAACAACTCATTATTTTAGCCAAGTGACATAGTTTCAAGGACTGACAGTGCACATTGGAGGGCCTCAATGTGGTACATTTCGTCTCTAATCAAATTCTATGATTTCAAACCTAAGTAGTATAATCCTTTAGAGTCCGTTTGGATGGATGGATGGATTTCAAATCAAAGGATTTGAGGTTGAATTTTATATAAAAAACACATTAGAGACTGAGCTATTAAAGATGAACAGAAACTATGGTAGAAGATAAGTAGAGATAAAAGAGATGTATTTTAGTAGCATCTTGTTTTCAGAAGGTGAATCCTTAGCACGATTTCACAGAACTTATCTTCAGGCCATGGCAGTCAGATTTTGAAGTGTGATGTACTGCACAGTTGTATTTGAAACTATTTGTGGTCTCATGCATTAATTGACGGTGGTTGGCCTTGGCAGGCATTTCATTTTGATGGTTGTATTAAGACGGGGCCTTTCTAATTTTCTTTATAGATAAAGGCATCTGTGTTAGTATCATCTATGGTTGATCTTCCTCCTGACTATTTGGGGGATGGAGCCTAACTTGGCTGAGTTTCATTGACCTTGTAGAATAAATTTTATGTTTATAGAACATTTCTGTTTTGAGGAGGACAATACTTATAAAATGCTTAATTTATTCGGTTCAATCAATTTATTGCTCTTGTATCTTTACTCACATTGTGTACAACGATCATAATTTTTTTGTGTGGCATAGATGCTATATCCTTCTGCAATGAATGATTTACTGCCCTCTCTCTCTCTCTCTCTCATGGTAAGTAAGATAACCTAGAGCAGATGAAACTGTCTTATCAGATAATCATCATAAATGTACACTTACAAATACTGGATTTGGTTTCCCAGGTGTTCCGTGGACAGAGGAGGAACATCGTCTATTCTTACTTGGTCTCCAGAAGTTGGGTAAAGGAGACTGGCGTGGGATATCACGTAATTTTGTTACATCAAGGACTCCTACCCAGGTAGCAAGCCATGCCCAGAAGTATTTTATCCGGCATACTAATGCTTCTAGAAGAAAGAGGCGATCAAGTCTTTTCGACATGGTTCCAGAAATGGTTTGTTTTGCATCTCTGTACTAAATTTTGCATGAGCCACTCGTGTGTGTGTGTGTAATGAATGCAAGCACATATGCGTACCATGCACCGACACTTTGAAACAAGTGCCATAGTGTGTCCCTTTATTTAATTAATTTATTTTCAAGAGACACGTCAGGCATGTCCCAACTAATTTCTTAGTACTTTTAAATCAACATAAAAAAATATAAACGATAAGAGTTAATTTTAGGATTACTTTTTTATTTTTATATTTAGCATTAATTTTGATTATTTATGAATGTAATATTAATTTTCATAGCAAATAAAAATATGTAAAAAAAAAAAAAAGAAAAAAATGTTTTTTTTATTGTCATGCCCCTATTTTTTTTAAGTCATCGACAAAGACACACAAACCAAACATTCTTTTGATTAATTTTGTTTTCCTGATTGTTATGTCATTTGTCAGGGCATAGATCCGCCAACATTGCCAGAAGAACAATTCGCGCTCCCTCCCTCTGAAGCAGTAGAAACTGATACTTCATACTCATTACTCTCATTAAAGCTGTCTCTCAAACCGGAATTCGAACCCATGGAAGCCACTTCTGAAGACAAGTTTGAAGAAGCCGAAGAAGGGACAATGCCTTTGGGCGAAAACCAAACAACTGTAGTTCCTACATCATCCTTCCCGGTTTATCTACCTGTTCCATTTCCACACTGGCTATCAAGTACAGGCCCCCCTGAAGAAGAGAGAGCAGTAGATACATCTAATCATCAAGTCATTAGGCCAATTCCCATTCTTCCAAAAGAACCGGTGAACGTGGATGAATTAGTGGGCATGTCACAGCTCAGTCTAGGAGAGAGCGGAACTGGGCATATTGGTTCTTCAAAACCCCTCTCCTTAAACCTATTTGGAGCACCGTCAAGGCCGTCAGCGTTTCATGCAAGCACTCCAGTTAATGAGTCAGATTAGTGAAAGGGCAGTGTGAAACGGTGGAGAAGCTAGACTTTTATTTGGGTTTTTCTTTTTTGTTAAATCTTTTGTAAAATCATATCTTTAGAATAATCATGTAGTTTTATGGGTTATGTAGGTTAATGTTAATGAAAATATTTATATTCTTTCGTTGTTGTGAACAATCAATAGGTAGAAGTTTAAATAATTTGATTGAGTTGGCAATAACATACTCTCTCTTTTGAGCTGAACTTACTTTTTGTTGTTCACAACAATTATTGCCCTACAAGACCAGTTGGGAGTGCAAAATAAATGATAAATGGTATCGACTCAAACAAATTCAAATCAATAGTTTGAGAAGCTGATTGTGTTCCGTTGGGCAGGTTAGCTCATGAGAGAATTAGACGCAAGTGTGGATCAGGAAAAAAATATAAATTTTATAAACTTTTTTACTTTTTGTAAATATTTGTTTCCTGATCTCATTGATGTGTAATACTCCCCTAGTTCATAACAATCAGCGGGTCAATTGGTATGCCATTTTGATTTGTCAATTTGCCTACAAATCAATCAAGCTCACCTATATATGTATAGGGAATAATGCTTGGGACCCCCTTTTGGGGTCACCCCCCTTTGCCACGTGGCAGGTGGTGATTGGAGGAGCAGGAAAAAAAAGAAAAAGAAAAAGAAAATGTAACCAATGAGAGTGAGAGGGGGTCAAAGGGGGTGGGAGGAAAAGGGGGGATGAATCATTGTTGTATGTATAGGGATGTAATAATGGACCAACCTGACCTAGCTTGGCCCACCCGGACCCGGGCCCCGGCGAAACCCTAGAGAGAGAGAGAAAAAGAGATGTAATATTGGCCCGGCGCGACCCATTCAAGACTGGGCTTAGGCCTGCCCAAGCGGGTCTCGTGGGCTCCCACTTTTTTAGAGAGCCGGGTTGGGCCGGCCCATGGGCTGAAAAGTGGGGCCCAAGCCCAAGCCCATGTCCACTCAGAATAGGGTTGGCGAACCTGTGCTCGGGTCGTAAGTCGGGCCTAGGCGAGCCTTTTCTTTTCAGAAAATGAATGATAAACACATTATCTATGTAAATTATTTATTAGGAATAAAAAATAAAAGAAAATTTGTCCTAGAGTATTTTAGTTAAGATTAATGAGATGTTTGGCTATGTTTCATGTGTGGTGGTATTTAAATTTAATTATGTATGACTTATGTTTTTTTGGTTATAAACTTATAACTAAAAAAGTATTACATTATGTAATTTTCATCTTTTAAAATGAATAATTTTATATATATGAAAATGAAACTTTCAATATTATAATCATTAAATTAATTATATAACAATTATTGAATGAATAATTTTTATTTCAAAATGAAATAAAAATATTACAAAAATTTATATCATTAAATAAAATAGATGTAGATTATTGATGATAGTAGAGCAATTGCATTACTATAGGTTAAGTACATCCCAATTAGTTTGACACCTACTACCTACCAATCATTTGCATTATCCCCCACCTCAATAATTTAACACAAAAAAATAACGAAATGAAATAGTGAAAAACAAATTGTTGATCAATCATCGGAGGAGATAGACAATTCAATCGCGTTGTTCGAGGATATGCCATCTAAATCAATTTGAATTCTCTCATTTTCACTATAATTTTTTCTTCTCGTAAGCACATGCATATGATCTCTAGATATCATCAATGCCTCAACCATTTGAGGTGAAAGCCTGCTGCGGTAATCACCCGTCCACCTGCACTAAAAGCTGTTTCCGAAGCAACTGTAAAACTAGGAACGGTTAATATATCACAGGCCATCTATGAAACCACAGACCATATAATTTTATTTTGTTTCCACCAATCCAAAATAGCAAAATCATCCACTAATGGGTTTTCCAAATAACGCTGTAATTCAGAACTACTTATGCTCATATGTTCAGAAATTCTTCTACTTTTTATTGCTGAAAAAACACTTAATCTCTGCCTCGAGATGAAATTGCTAGTGTAGTGCGTGTAGGTGTATTTGCAGATGCAGTTACCCTGCATTCTTCAAATAATGTTTTTCATTTTTGCATAGAAGGGGAAAAGTGTTTTTGATCAGCGAAAATACGTTCTAAAAATTCTTATAAACCAATTTCTTTACACCTAAGACCAATTATTATGGCTAAACCTAAAAGATGGGGTAATGGATTAAAATATTTATGAAAATTTGCTTTCATTGAAGTAATAATGGTTACATAATATTCATTACCCATATATTTTACGAAAGCTTTAATTATTTCTACTAACATATGTAAAACAAATGGTGAAGTAGGAATATATATATAAGAAAATAATTTTGTTGAAATATCAAAAAATTTTAAAAAATCTTTATTCAAGGCCTAGTTGGAGCCAATTAAGTTCTATAGGAGTCAATACTTCTCCTATTGGTGTTGTTGCAAAAAATAAATATATTATTTTTTTTTGTTTACAAGTTTTTTTTAACATATTATACATTGACTTCCATCTACTGTTTATATCTAAAATTAATTTTTTTAAATGACATACCTTCTCATTGACAAATTTTTTTGTATTCCGAAATTCAATTAGCAAAAAACATAATAGTAACAATTGTATTTTTTGTTACAAGTACAGAAGTCTTGTATATATGCATACATGCATAGCTTCTTTAACAATCAAGTTCAAAATATGAGTACAACAACGAACATGACATAATCACCATCAACAAGTAATTCTACAGTTGATTTTAAATTGGCTACAGTCTGATTGTAATATGTTGCATTATCTAAACTAATGTTAATATTTTATTTTGCAAAGTCTACTCATATAATATATTTCTTATTTCTACACCAAGCAAATGACCTGTGTATGAAAGTTCTACTAATCTAAATGAAATAACTCTTTTATTTAATTTTCTATCATTATTAATAAAATGTGTAGTGATATATTGATATTCTAAACCATTATTTGGCTACAGATCATATGCTAAATAAACTCCCCTTCAATTTTTTTAAAGATGTCAAATAATTCAGTTTTAATATCCTGAAATTTCTTTAAAATCATGTTTTTAATAGCATTTCTTGAAAATTGTTAATATTTTAGTGCAAAACTTTCGTGAATCATTTAGGTAAAATCGGGACATTCACTAGTTGTAAAAGGTTATTCTTTTTTAATAATATAATCAACTACAAAATTTTGTACGCGTATATGATCATATGAAAATGTTTGCTAATGACCAGTTGTGGAAGCCCCTAATTGCATTTAACTTCTAATACCATGTTGTTGACTATTTTGTAAATGTTTCATAACATACCTTTTAAGATGACTAGTGTAACGCCTCCAAAACAATAACCATAATTCATCCCACGATAATTAGTAAATAACAATACAATTCTGAATTTAGTATTCTTCCATTCATATAATTCCACTTTACAAAAGGTAACACATGTAGTTATACATTCATAAGCCCTAATGCTATAGCATGTGCCACAAGTTAATGATATCAAATAAAAGTTAAACAAATATATAAATGCCCTAATGCTACAACTTTCCAAAAAGATGTTTGGTTACAACAAAAGTGAGTTTAAACTCAATACAGTTCAAGCCCTAAGCTTGTACAAAAATAATTATAATAATAACAAAAGAAGAAGCTCTTGCATCCAAGTCCTCCCAAACTACGACTGCATATCATTAGCACCTGAAAATGGATTCCACATAGGGTGATCCAAAGCCCTTTAGAAATACTCTAACACAGTGTATAAATTTTAACAAATCTATAAGGTCAGAGCATATGCAATGCTCGTGCCAAAACATTTTATTATCTCTTTCCAAAACCATGTAATGTCAAGTTTATATCACAATTCATGAAATCATTTCTTTTACAGTAGAAAACAGGGTAGTGGATATAAGCACTGGAAATCTCTAGGTATGTGCCTACAAGTACGCTATACAAGCACTACCAATTGCCAGTTTTACTGGTACTAATTAGAAGGCTCGTTACCTAACCACGCGGGTTTTTAGACTTTCACCAAGGACACACAAACCAATAATAATACCCCAGGCACACCCCTACCCAGATTCACCAAGGTATTCACTAATTTTTCTAGAAACAATATACATTTTCAATGGATTAAGTATGCAACAATGCTCAATGCAAATGGATGAGAATTGGTTTCAATTCTCCTAATTCTCATGCAATTTTTATAACAATTATACATATCCTCCACCGATAATCCAAAACAAATATCTCTAAATAGATAGATAATTTCCAAAAAGATAAACTTTTCAAAATTTCAATATGAGAGTGATAATACATATCTAACTCCACCATCATTATCATCGTCATTCCAATTCCATAAAACCTAAAATCATTTCCATTTCCTCTTTACAAAATCAAGTATTCAAATTTTAGGGCAAAATCTCATTTTCCTTATAAGAAATTCAAAGAATAAAATCCACAATTTTATCTCAACTCAACCACTTTTACAACCTCACAATCATTTTCAAGAAACCATTTTGAAAACCCCTCTTTTGATTTCAAAACCAAAACCCTAAGTTTATTCAAAAATTCTCAAATCATAATCTTGCTTAGAAAAAGCAAATAACTAAGTTAAAAATCAAACTAAAGTGTGAAGAAATCCATACCTCAAAGCTAGAAGGCAAGAGAGAGAGTGAAGAAATCTCGACGAAGCCAAAAATCAACTTTGCTCCAATCAAATAGAAGCTCTAGGTGAGCTCTACCTTTTTATCAAAGGAACTAGGGTGTAGAGATCAATAGATTGAGAGTATTTGGAGGTTAAAGATGAGTTTTAGAGAGAGAGGGTCTAGATTTAGGGTTTTTGAAATGTTTAGAGAGAGAAATATGAAAAAGTAACTCAAAGAGTGGCTATTACAAACTGATATATGCGCAGACTGTTTGAGCGACCAAAACACCACTCGAGCGACCAAACACAATAAGTGAGACCGCTCGAGTGCACATATACAAACGAAGACATCGCTCGAGCACAAGAAGCATCGCTCGAGTGTAGATATCAAAGTCTCAGTAGTTTTACAGACAATGGCTAACCGTTCAAGCGTAGGAGAGACCATACGAGCGAAGACCACTCAAGTGCAAGAAATACTGCTTGAGTAAAAAAAACACTCTCTCAGTACTTTTGCAGAGCTACAAATATACTAGAAGTTCTCAAAGACTGCTCGAGTGACCAAAGGACCGCTTGAGTGAACTGACCAAAATCTGGGCAACA